GTTTGGATAGTTATTATTTTACTTACAAATTTTCTGAATTTTTATTCATTAAGTTAATTGTAAAATTATTAAAGTTTAACAAAGAGAAAAAATATAATTTATCTATGAATATTGTAATTTTCTTTTACGTTTGATTTATATTTTTAGTTATTTTTTCAAAAATTTTTGGAGACAGTTGAATATTCATATACTCACGGATGTACAAATACAGATAAAATTTTGATCTAGATGGAACGGAACGTATCACAAATACTACAAAATATCAGAAAAAGAACTGCATCGTCCCTACCTCTTTGGCTTTGGACATTACATATGGGTTGGTTGATATCCCCAAATCACAACCTCAGAAAAAGAGGTTTATCTATCTACAAGAAGAAAAGGCAGTGGATCATAACCCATGCTAAGATAGGAGAGATCAACGAGGGCCAGTGGATGTGGAGGGATGATCTAAGCCATTGAATCAAAATATAGAAACTCAGGTGTTTCGCAGCTGACAAAAACCAATTAATTAGTAATACATCTGTCATGTGGAATTAACGACCAGCCATTGTTCACTGACCGATTGCTCTTAGTAGTAGCATTAGGAACAATGCCGGTGAGTTCTCTCATTTATAAAGATTTAATTACCTCTATTAGTCACTCATACCTAGTATCCACGATTTTTTTTATTGAATTAGATAACTTAGCTTATAAATTTTAATATTAATATAGAATATGTTGTTTTCTTCTATAACCAAAATGTCGAAAAAGTGTTTCATTGTGTATACTGTTCATAAAAAGAGTTTGTTATTTAAAAAAACATTTAATTCATTGAAGAATTTTTTCTTGACAAAGTGATTTGTAATGCTGTAATCATTGTATTACCAACTTAGTTTAACCCGGGTAAAGAAAAATAGTTATTTACCTAATTTTTAATAAACCTTCATTATTACATAGATAATTGACCTTGTGTATTGTTACTTACGTTGAGACAGAAGTTACATGAGTGGGTACTGTGGTACATTACTTGTAAATTAAATTGGCAATTCTGACCCTTTGTAAAAGAAACGGTTAAAAGAGGGGAGTTTTAAAGAAAGTAACAAAAAAATGAAGAAGATGGTCCACGGCTCCACGCACACATGTACATTTTCTTTTATGACACTACACAACAAAGCCACCAAGTAACAAAAGAGCATCCCAAATATCACATGTCAGTCTTGCTGTCTTTCATCTGTCTTTTTTACCTCTTATTTTGGGGTATAAGCTTTCTTTTTTTTCTTCTTGTGTTTCCTTAACGAAATTTTAACTATAGGTTATAAAATAATTAATAGATATTAATCAAATAAAATACCGCAAGTAACATGATTTTGTTATAAATTCATATATTTATTATATTTGTATTCTCTTTGTTAAAGAAGAACATTTTTTCTTGTAAAGATAGACAAATATAGAAAAAATAAAATAATTTTTGTTTCTTCTATTCATAACATGTTATGAACTCACATTTTTACCACTGAAGTTTTTATTGAGTAATGTTAAAATTCCTAACAAATATACTCACATAACCGAATAAGTTCTACACTTGCCGTTGAGTTAGATCTTGTGTATTAAGAAGTTATAGTTTGATTAAATGATTTTCTAAAAATGTAAACAATATATTTTTTTTTGTCATGAACAAAATTTCATTTATCGACCAAATAAATACATAGTTTGCATCTATAAATCAACAATATACATAAGTGATTATACGAGTGAAAATTGTTTTCTAACAACGTGCATTCCATGCAAGTAAATATGCTTTCGTATTCTTGTCTCGAAATCGGTGCCCTAATTAAAATTTCATAAATAACTTCTAAAGTTCTGCCGACTCAATCAATTATGGGAGGAATCTCGGCCAATCCTTTGGGTTTAACACCATAGGATTTAAGCTCCGTAGAGCTTGTTACAAACAAAGAACAAAATCGCTTTTTCCCTTTGATATAATGCGTTTTTGGAGCATTCTAACCCTTGCTTTGTAGGTTTTTATCGAGTCTTTCATTCTATATTGAGTCTTTCTAGGTCTAAAAGTGGCTGGAATGGAGGATTGGAATTTACAAGGAGGCTTGGCGAAAAATAAAGGAAATAGGATATTTTCTTGAAGATTATGAAGATAAGGAGCACCCGCTCCCGATCAGCTGACCTGCTCCCCAGAA